TGTATAGTCAGCTATATGTTGGAAATACAGTATATCTAGAATTAAAAGGTGTCCTTGTTGAGAGTATTTTATGTCCCAAATTTGTAATACCTTGCTAAGTTGAATCTTTGAGTCAAATATCTCCCGAAGTCAAATTTGTCCCAAGTCCCCATCTGAATTCTGTTAGAAACAATGCCTTAAAAACCTCTCAGGCTTTTCCTGTAAAACCTCCTAGCTCAAGTCAAATTTTTGAGGCCTTTAGGCTACAGTTTTATTTTATTGAAACAGGAAAGAAAAAAAGTAATAAAAATTTAATTTGATGTGCTTTGAAGGGATGTGACAAACTGAATTGGAAAAATGAACCCCTGTCTCAAAGTTCAGTGCCCTGTCAACTCATTTTAGAAGTAACTCAATGTCCAGAATATCAAAATGTACAATTTAGTGAAATTCTTCAATGTTTCCCACAATGAAAATGCTTGAATCTATAAGCCAAGCATCTGTGATTCTATATACTGTAAACCTTCTAAATCAATTTTTTTTTGCTGGTCCCTTGAAATTTGACTTGCAGAGGTTCAACTTTCTCATCTTCCACTTGATAATAATTGCTTTATGTGGTAGTCTTCAAATATGAGTTTTTGAAGTATAAGTGGATGCTCACCAATTTAATTAAATTCAGACTGTTGGAATATCACTGTATATTCATTGATAAATGATATTTAGTGATATTTCAAGTAATTTCCAAGGCACTCTGAAAGAAACTTTTGAAGCCACCCTTTCACGTTAGACATGTGCACGTGTGACGTGAAGGGAACTAAATATTAAATGGCTGCGGATATTCCCTGTGGACAATGCGCGGAAGGTTGTCTTATAAAATGGAAATGGATGCTCTCATGGAAGTTCCAGCGCTGATGCTCCTCAGGACCAACACTAAGCCTTGCTTCCTGTGACATTTCCGCCAGCTTTTGAATAATGAAAGGTGTCTATTTGGTTAGCTGTGTCTGTTGTACCTGATGAGTAAATTCTGTCTGTGCTGTTTTTAATTATTGAAATAAGTCAAGTACAGTATGTAAGGGTAGTATAACCACTCAACCAGCTATAGAAGGTAGACAAGTGCCACTATACTGTTCTAGCTTACTGCTAGTGTCAAAATCATACTGTACAAAATCAATAAATAATCTACATTATTCCTTTAAGTTTGCAGTGTTCCCCAACCTTTTTGAGTCTACAGAGCAGCAACTTTTCAAAAAATGTTCTACAGACTGGCAAAGTTTCATGAATTTTTGCAGACTCAAAATGGTTTTGCTTGAATGAAAATGTTGTGGCTGACATTTAAGAAGTACTGTAATTTCCAAAACTCAAGAACCAATGAAGCAGCACTTATATAGTGCTGCTTCATACATAGTACCACTTTATATAGTGGTATGTATTTAAAAATTAGAAAGATGGGCTTGAAGAATGGCTTCTTGGAATTTTAAAAAATTAATATAATTTCTTTCAGCAGGTGCAAATTTGTCTGACGCGTTATTCAAAGAAAAGCCAACATTTATTTTTTCATCAGATAATTTCAACTGCCATTGTCTTTTTAACAAGATGCAGGCTTCATTGCTACTTTTGTTGATTTATTGTGCTGCAGAAAAATTTCCTGCTGACTGGCAAACAATTTTATTCTATATATTTTGGTTGTACAGTACAGTATATATATTTTCTTTTTTACTGAATATACTGTTATAATTTTTCCTGTATTTGTTACACTCCAGTGTGGGAAATACTGTATAATGCAATGTTTACCAATGATTATTGAAAAAGCAATACTCAAGTATACTCAATGAACAATTAATATACAGTAATGATAACTAATACAATAATATTTTGAGTGAATAAGAAAAGTGGATTTCTCAGTAATGATGCCCACCATGGGTATTTATATTTTGTTCCCTTATTGTCCTCCAGTACTTGAACTCCAAAAATTTGGCAATAGAAGCAAATGTATTTGGCACACCTGATTTCTGACTGACTGACATTTATAACTGCTATTGAATGTTGCAGGAACATACGCCTTGCCGCCCACTGGATTGTTCCTGTTCCTGGGTTTCAGTCGCAAAGATGAAAGTTTGTTGGCACCACTCACGAGGAAACGTGCTGCAGACGTTATTCCTTTTCTTCAAGACATCGTAGATCCCCAGGTCAGCGCTTGGGGAAAGAAGGAAAATTTTCCCTCATTTTCAACTNTCAGAGCACAATCTTTTCACATTGTCCTGAGAGTAAATTAGGATTAATTTCATATTATAACTAATTTCATGAATTTGTATAGTCAGCTATATGTTGGAAATACAGTATATCTAGAATTAAAAGGTGTCCTTGTTGAGAGTATTTTATGTCCCAAATTTGTAATACAGTACCTTGCTAAGTTGAATCTCCTTGAGTCAAATATCTCCCGAAGTCAAATTTGTCCCAAGTCCCCATCTGAATTCAGTTAGAAACAATGCCTTAAAAACCTCTCAGGCTTTTCCTGTAAAACCTCCTAGCTCAAGTCAAATTTTTGAGGCCTTTAGGCTACAGTATTATTTTATTGAAACAGGAAAGAAAAAAAGTAATAAAAATGTAATTTTATGTGCTTTGAAGGGGATGTGACAAACTGAATTGGAAAAATGAACCCCTGTCTCAAAGTTCAGTGCCCTGTCAACTCATTTTAGAAGTAACTCAGGAATATCAAAAATGTCCAGAATATCAAAATGTACAATTTAGTGAAATTCTTCAATGTTTCCCACAATGAAAATGCTTGAATCTATAAGCCAAGCATCTGTGATTCTATATACTGTAAACCTTTTAAATTAATTTTTTTTTGCTGGTCCCTTGAAATTTGACTTGCAGAGGTTCAACTGTCCCATCTTCCACTTGATAATAATTGCTTTATGTGGTAGTCTTCAGCAAATATGAGTTTTTGAAGTATAAGTGGATGCTCATCAATTTAATTAAATTCGAAGTAAATTAAATTCAGACTGTTGGAATATCACCGTATATTCATTGATAAATGATATTTAGTGATATTTTAAGTAATTTCCAAGGCACTCCGAAAGAAACTTTTGAAGCCACCCTTTCACGTTAGACATGTGCACATTTGCCAAGTCTTTCCTCTGTTAGGCTCTGTGACGTGAAGGGAACTAAATATTAAATGGCTGCAGATATTCCCTGTGGACAATGCGCGGAAGGTTGTCTTATCAAATGGAAATGGATGCTCTCATGGAAGTTCCAGCGCTGATGCTCCTCAGGGCCAACACTAAGCCTTGCTTCCTGTGACATTTCCGCCAGTTTTTGAATAATGAAAGGTGTCTATTTGGTTAGCTGTGTCTGTTGTACCTGATAAGTAAATTCTGTCCGTATATATTGGTATGTATTTAAAAATTAGAAAGATGAGCTTGAAGAATGGCTTCTTGGAATTTTAAAAAATTAATATAATTTCTTTCAGCAGGTGCAAATTTTTCTGAAGCGTTATTCAAAGAAAAGCCAACATTTATTTTTTCATCAGATAATTTCAACTGCCATTGTCTTTTTAACAAGATGCAGGCTTCAAAGCTACTTTTGTTGATTTATTGTGCTGCAGAAAAATTTCCTGCTGACAGTTTTATTCTATACATTTTGGTTGTACAGTATATATAATTTCTTTTTTTTTACTGAATATACTGTTTATATGTCTAATGTTATAATTTTTTACAGTATTTGTTACACTCCAGTGTGGGAAATACTGTATACTGTATAATGCAATGTTTACCAATGCTATTATTTTAATGAATATTGAAAAAGCAATACTCAATGTACAATAAATATACAGTAATGATAACTACTGCAATAATATTTTGAGTGAATAAGAAAAGTGGATTTCTCAGTAATGATGCCCACCATGGGTATTTATATTTTGTTCCCTATTGTCCTCCAGTACTTGAATTCCAAAAATTTGGCAATAGAAGCAAATGTATTTGGCACACCTGGTTTCTGACATTTATAACTGCTATTGAATGTTGCAGGAACATACGCCTTGCCGCCCACTGGATTGTTCCTGTTCCTGGGTTTCAGTCGCAAAGATGAAAGTTTGTTGGCACCACTCACGAGGAAACGTGCTGCAGACGTTATTCCTTTTCTTCAAGACATCGTAGATCCCCAGGTCAGCGCTTGGGGAAAGAAGGAAAATTTTCCCTCATTTTCAACTTTATAAAATTTGAATTATATATTCAAGAAATCAATTCAGTTCATTTTCAATAATAACACTCGGTTATTTATAATTGCTAGTAGTCAATTTCAGAAATTGGTTCATACTTTGAAATTCTCTTTGACCAAATTTCAACTAATCTATTTCTGTCCCATTTTTTTTTCTTCACCCAGGAAACGTGCAGGTTCTCGTTGCACACGCTGTCACGGCAGAACATCATTCTGAGGATTGATATCCGTCCAGGGGATACCAACAAAACCTTCTCTTTCCTCTACAAGGTTATTAGTATTAAAAAAGTTGAGGCACTTCTAAGCGGTTTGTTCCGTGTGCCAAGGCAAAAAAGAAGGGCGGACGTTGTTTCCGCTAAGATAATTTAACCGGGCGAGGCAGATTTTTTAGAATTAATCATTAAGAAGAGTAGTAGTAATGAAAGAAAATGCTGCCAAATTGTGTCAGACCGGAGTCGAAGGACTCGAAAAATGAAATGTTGTTTAATCCCCAGAAATTAAAAATAAATAACAATCAGAATCTAAAAATAAATAACAATTCAATTTCAAGTTTTTGTTGTATGATCTTTATATTTCTGGATTGATAAAGATGCACACCAGTGATGAACTGGTGAAAACATATTTTCAAGTTTTCTTTTTTTTCTGATCTCTCTTCTTTTCGCACTGAATAAAATTAATAACATAGAAACAGAGAATTTCACTACAAGTGGAATTGATAATTCCAGCTTGGCACTATCTACTTGATTATACGGCAAAGCAACTTTTTCCACCCACCCAAAAAAAAAACCCCCATTCACGGACAGTTTCATTGACGAGAGGGACACAATCAATCGATCGTGAATGATCTCACATCATTCTACTGCCAATGAATGGGGGGTCATTTTTTGGGTGGGTGAACCCTCCCATTCACAGACAGAGTCATTGACAAGAGGGACACGAATCCGTCGATCGTGAAGAGTCTCTCGCCATGCTGCCGCCAATGAATGGGAGAAGTAGGGCGGGGAAGGGTTTCATGTCTACCCTTGTTTTGGGAGTAGTCCTTCGACGGAATAGGGTTTCTTTTCTACCCTCTTAGGGTTTCTTGTCTACCCTCGTTTGGGGGGAATCCTTCGGCGGGGTAGGGTTTCTTGTGTACCCTCGTTCGGTTAGAGTGGTAGTGCTGCGCTTGAACAACTAGATGATTTGGTTCTGGCGATCCAACATCTTGAATTCTTCCTTCCCGAGCAAATTTCACACGTCCGATCACCTGAATCAACCAAGGGCGTTGAATTGTAAATCAACAAATGTAATTGTAATTACTATATTAATTGAAGTAATTTTAATAATTCAGTTTCCAATACACAACAAGAAGCAACAGGAAAAAAATGAGTATACTATTTTCCTATTCTTCAATCCAGAGTTGAACCATCTGGCTGTTGGATTTGTACTGGTACCACTGAGCCAAACAAGTAGAACCGGATGTTGGACCCTGCCAAATTGTGCAAGTCCACCTTCATCAAATTAAAGGGCAATACTGAAAACGTTTCTCAGTGGAATTATGAAGCATCAAGATGTCATTAAAAAAAGGAAATGTTGTTTATGAATCTCTCAATGAGAGATTTGGTCTATTAAGAAGTCTTCACTATTGCCCTTTTAATCTGATGAAAGAGGATGGTGCACTCCGGTCTGGCCCAATTTGGCACACAAAAGCGGCCAAAAAATGGCGTCCAACATTCGGCACTACAAGTACAAATCCAACATCCAGATGGTTCAACACCAACAAAACTGTAGGAAAAAAAAAAGTTTTCCAGAAATAAAGAAGCTTGAATGTGAACATCTACTTCGTTTACATTATATATTGCATGATATTTTTTTCATGCAAAAAAGTTAGCTCACCCACCCATGAAAAAAATCTTACTTCTGGCTGCCATAGCAGTGAACGAGATTTTTTTCCTGGGTGGGGTGGTCAGAGTGGTAGTTGAGGGGACCAAACCCCCTCAAAAAATGTAGAAAAATAATATTGATACTGGATAAATATTAATTCTAGTACAGTATTACTAATAATACCTCTTCCTCTCGCAGCAATGCAAAACTGAAGTGCAGAAGCTGATGGACAAGATCAACGACCGGAACCAGGAAATCCGGACCCATCACGTGCTTTCAATGGTGCGTTTGGCAGAAGCCAGGTTCCACTTGGCCCTGGCCGACTCCTCTCCGAAGCAGCATTCTCGTCAACTATTCCTCTTCCTCTCGCTTTTACTTGCACTCCAATTCTAAAAAAAAAAAAGAATAAGAATGAATCAACGGTGGAAACAAATTGAAGAATGAATTTACTACGGTATTCACCTTTTTCAGAGGACGTTCTTGTTTTTTTCCAAATCTAGTTCCAATCGATCAAAAAATCCGATTCAGCGCTGAAAAGAAAAAAGGAGAAAAAAATAAGAAACTAATGGTCACTGGAATATTTATAAAATATTTTCCTTCCTACCATCAAGAAAATACCAATGATGAAGCCATCCATTCCTATGGTTACCATTCGATGAATTAAAAAACAATGTTACTGGGATTTTGTCGGATTTCAACGTTTGAATAACATTTTGGGAGGAAATTCCCGACGTTTCGTGTTTCTATCCACTGGAGTAATCGGCTGTGATATTGAAGGATTCATTGGAAAATTGTCGTGTTTTTTATCGGTGTGCGGCTGTGAAATGTTCGTCTCTTTTCTTCTTCTTTTTTCCTCATTCTCATATGTTTCTTCGAGCTTGTTCTTCGTCCCGATGCGGGAAAATAAATCGTTATTTGTTACTTGGATTGCGCAAAAGAACGAGGTTTTCTTATTCATCATTATTTCGGGTAAGTGATTCAACAACACAAATTATAGCATGTTAAATCGAATAATTGGGCAAAAACCTAGAAAACAACTTCGTTCGTTGAGAGCAGAAAAATTCACTCGAAGAAAAAAAACACAGATGAAGTACAAAAAAGTTTGATTCCAAGAAACATGATCCCAGATTAAACAAGATTTAATTTTTTGTCATTACTTCTACCACGATTCCTACTATACCACTTACTACCACTACTTTTTTTACTTCTTGTAGTTTTCGTACCTGCGGGAAACTTTCAATTGATGACATTTTGAAGTTAGTGAAACAAATACAAGATATTCAATTCAAAATTCCGGAAAGAAAAATATGTTAAACTTAAAGCTGAAAAATTAAACATACATTAAATGAGTTTCTTACTTAATTAGTAAGTAAGAAACTCATTTACATATAATATTCAATACAATGTTTACTGTACTTGATAATCAATGTATATAAAATTTTCAGCTCTAAGTTTGAGTTTATTACTTACTAATTAACATAGGAAACCTTAACTTCACAAGTGAGTTAAATTTCTGGGATCTTTTTTCTCATAATTAAATCCAGCTTTTCAATGTCAAAATCAGAGGAACGTACGAACAATTCGATTTAGGACGGTTTAAAGTTGGGGGAAAACAGATTTGTTGGGGGTGAGGGGAAATTAAAAATTACAAGGTAAAATTTATATCAAGGACCTTAAACAGTTAAATAAATGAGTTGACAGTTAATTTTCGCAATTGGTACCCTTATTCATTTTTTAAAGCATCAAGATAGATTTTCATTCCTCTTAGTCTTCCTGGGTTTAAAAAAATAGCCCCTAAAACCCTCACAAAATTCAAATCGCAGCAGTTTGAGGAGAAATGATTTGAGCTAGAGAGGTTTTCCATGCACTTTTTTTAACTATCCTAAGGTAACTAAGACAGGGACAAAATAAATTTGACATAACCCCATTGAAATGAGCACTTATACATGGATAACTCACTTGAAATGAAGCTTGATACTAACAGCAGAAAATCCAGATTCCTGTCATCCAAATATTTGTGTGCCGAATGCACATTCCATTGCCTAAAACAAATGTGAAATGCATACTTTCAAAAATGTGTCAATAATATTCATCAACGAAAACAACTAATTCTTAAATAAACTAGAACAACTAATACCGGTGCTCATTGCAAATAAGTCAACTTTCCACAAAAATAAAAATCCTTTGTGCTCAACAATAACATGACTACCATTTATCAGCTAAAAATGCACCCTGAAGCGTTGAATAAAATCATTTTTTTATTGCTTTTCAAACTGACGGAATTTGGACAAGGAAATCCGAAGTTTATCATTCAGGGAAAGCGACGTTCAATTTCCGATACATGTAATGAAAAATAGAGACGACGCCCAGCGACCAAGACAGCGGGATGGAAGCAGCTTTGAACCATTCCCACAAACTTCGGCAGCATTAAAATAAAAGTGAAGAACATTAGATCAAACGAATTTCATAAATACTGCACACTTGAACGGAAAATAAAGATGAACGAAATATACGCGGGATGCTATACGAAAGTCGTGCGATGTCATCTTCGATGAATTAGATTTACTTCAACCATCAAAAAATCAGGATTTTTTTTTTCATTTCATAAGAAAAAAAAAATTTACGAGAGAAAATTTCCCCGTCATTTCGTTAATTTAATCCTCGCCATTTGGGGTGTGGTTGGAGTGCTTTTCCAGGAATAAGGAAAAATACTCCCTCAAAAATTCAACACGCAATGGTTTTCTAGTCGGGAGTACATTTTTTTTTTAATACGTACGGAGTGGTACCTTGGATAATGGACGACTCGCAGAACGGATTTCACAAAAATTGACTCGGGCAGCCACTTCATTCGATGTAAATGATATCATTTCATATTTCACAGCAAAGAAAAATCTTTCTTTCGATTTAGTAAGGGCCATGTTGTTCAATCAACCATGGGAACAACTCTTGAATCATTTAGAAATAAGGTTCAATTCTAGTCAAATTTTGGATTCCGACGCATTTAATTTCCAAAATTGTGTCCCCTTTTTCGAGAAAATCCCGTCGAGTCTTACGCAAAAGCCCGTGGAATTCGAGTAAATACAGTACAGTACAGTATAATAATTTATTAACAAAAGCAATTCAAGCGAATGATGCTGTCCCTCGCATCCGCATTGAAATGAAACTTCACCTTTCCAAATGCCACGTTCTTCCCGTCCAGCCAAGGAGCGCCACCTACGGTGATGAAAAACTGACAAGCATTCGTGTCCGGGCCGGAATTCGCCATGGAAACGAAACCCGCGACGGTGTGGTTCACGGCAAACACTTCATCCTCAAACATCGGGGAACCGAGTGCAGACCAAGGTCTTCCTGTCCCATCCTTGTTCACCACATCACCTCCTTGGATCATGAACCTAGCAGAAAAAAAGGAAAGCAATTTAAAATTTTGAATTATTTGCAGTCTTGAAAATGCGAAGAAATGTCGGACAATACATTCAAAGAGGAATTTTTTCTTTTCCCGATCACAAATAACATGCGGGAAAATTTGAAAGTGAGACGAATTTGTGAACGGAAAAATGATTGTATCACGGAAAGTTGCATTTATTATCTTCTAAAGTTCTATGTTAAGAATTCATTCGAAATCGACTCAAAAATCCAATTCAAACTTAAGGGAATGATCCTTGTCATTAATAAAATGGAATTAGAATTATCAGAATGTAAAAAATTATTTTTTGGAAAGTAGACGAAGCGAGAAAATCTTGGACCTCATTGAAGATAATGGGTTGATTTTTCATAACATCTTTTTATAAGAATTTCAGAAAAAGAAAATAATCTCTAAAATAATAATTATCTAAAATCATATCAATTGAGCCCGTCTTATTTCATCAAATCACTTATCGAAAAAATGGGAAACTTTATGGTCATTTTAAACCGACACAACGATTAACTTTTAATTTCGAGGGTCAAAATCTCGTCAAAATTAATTTTTCGAAGGACGAAGCGAGAAATTCTCGGTCCTGGGTTGATTTTCCATGACACTTTTCATCAAGATTTCATCTAAAATTGACAAATTGAGTCGTCTTCCTTTCTTAGGTCAATCATAAAAATCATTCGAAAACGACACGGTCATCCGAAATCGATACAAGGATCAATTAGACTTATTTTTTGAAAAATAAGACGAAGCAAGAAAATCTCGGACCTCCCTTGGAAATAATGCGTCGATTTTTCTCATACAATTTTCTCATAAATATTCAATGCAAAAACTGAACAATTGAGTAAACGTCTTTCTTCATTGAATCGATTATAAAATCACCCACCTTTTAATGACTCGATGAAATTTTGTCCCGCGATAGCTGAGCGAAGGATCGCCATTGATGCCAACAGTGGCGAGTCTCACGAAGTTTTCCGTGGTCCTCGGATGCGAATTTCCAAATAACCCAATCGTGACGCGGTCCGGTTTATTATTGCCGATTTTCACGTCCAAATACACGTGACGTGTGACCGTGTGGTACTTGGAACCCTGAAAAAAAAAAATTGGAAAAAAATGATCCACAAGTTACTGCAAAAAGGTTGACGGTTTACACTCTTATTGAAGTCAAAAACCTCCCTAATTAAAATTTTCAGTATATTTATTTAAAATCAATGAATTTTAAGCCTCCATAACTCAAAACTTCACTCTAGACCAGTGCTGGTGCCCATCTCAAAAGTGGTCAAGGACCACATCAAGAAGTTAGTCTTCTCTGTGGGCCACAATGGAGGAAATAAATTAACCTCCTACAATTTTCAAAATTGTTGATGTTTTTGAATATAAAAAGTCAACAAGCTATTTGATCATTTTCAGCAAGCTTATGGCAATTTCAGTTTTCTCAAGTCTTTGTGTCAGGACTCAAAATGCCAAAAAAAATCATATCCTTGGAAACTGAATTGTTTCAACAAAAAACAAGGCAAAGCATTTTGCTATTGAAGATTGTAAATACATATTTGTTTGTCCATTCTTTGTCAAACACGCTGCATTCATAGTCTATTTTTTCATGCCACTGCTTTCAGCCATTTTTTTATTGAAGCCTGTGTTGAATGAGGTCTCTCAACTGTGGGCCAGTTGGGAGACCTCTGCGGGCCAGATCTGACCCGCGGGCCGTACCTTGGGCACCCCTGCTAGTTTAGACTCTCTAAATCGGATTTTCCATCAAATACCAAAGTGATATTTAACTGGGGCTAAATTTTACAAAACCTGATCCAGGGCATTTGCACACTTTTTCCCCTTTTTACAGCTTTCCACGAGGGATCTGAAAAAATTTCTTCAAGTTATAAACTCTTGAATTTTTTTCTTGCAAAATTAATAAAAATATCTTGTCTACAAGACTACAACATATGTTACGACACTATTTAAAATTTCGCTTTAAAATTTCAAAATGAGCTTAATTGGTTTAACACACTGCCAAAAATTTGACTGCAGTCTTTCTACATGTAAGAATGCCACAGGACGCGGAGAATCGGGACAAGTTATAAAGTAAAATCTCGTTAACATAGAGCCATTAGGACCAGGAAAAAAGCTTAAAAAAAACGCTATTTACAGCAATTTTAAAAACATTTATGCAATTCGACATTTTTAAAAACAAATTCTTTTCAAGCAATGCTTCATTATAACGAGCTTCTATCCTAAACGAAAGCTTTTTCTACTGGAAGCTGAAATATTTCTCATTTAAAAAAAAAAGGCAGTAAAAATATTATCAGAATCCTAATCACACCTGCAGCAAAATCTGAAATCAGATCGTCTTAATCCTAATATGAGCTGCTAGAATTCAAGTTGAAGAAACTGACATTTTGGACACATTAAAAAAATTGGATCACTCACGGAAGCTGGAAAACCATCAGCTAAAGTCCGGCAAAAGAACACCAGAAATATCACGGGTCTTCCAAACAGACATCCCAGCATGATTTTGTCTTCAGTCGTCCTGGTAAATAGAAAAAAAACACATCATTTCAGCACGAATTTTTAAAAAAAAAATGGTAAAAAATACAATACACCAACAAAAATTTGCATCACTAGGGAAGGAAAATGAGTTCAATGTTGAACTCTAAGGCCTAGAAGTATACAACAGTAAAATCTTTACCTGATGCAACCAGAAGCCCTTCAAGTTCTTCTGAACTGACCGAGGAAAGTGAAGCCATCCAAGCGACGCAAGCAGGCGACATTTTCGAAAATTTTGACACGATAGATTTCATAAAGAGACACTCGATATGGTCACTTGATTGTTGGATCAACAATATCTTCCGAATTATCTGCAAATAATCAATGAAACTCGCATCAAACAATTTCAAGGCCGAAATTCATGAAAAAAAAAATCTGGAAGTGTTCCTTTGTTTTCATTCCAACACTTTATTGATAGTGAAACAAAGTACCAACGGGTTTTTTAAATCGTTGAAGAGGACGAAACACATTATACCGACACAACATGGTATTGTACAATAATTACTCGAATAAATGTCCTGATTAACGAATGCTTCTTTTCAATGGCCTCCCGTTTTTTCAACCAAAACCTCACAAATACTTCGGATTTTGCAAAAAGTGACTTTCAAGTGGAGAAATCTCTACATGCACTTTTAGATCTCTTTTTTTTCATCATCTTGGAGCTGCTTCTTCAGCAAAGAGAAAGAGCGTATTCAAGAATATCAGAATGTAAAAAATTATTTTTTGGAAAGTAGACGAAGCGAGAAAATCTTGGACCTCATTGAAGATAATGGGTTGATTTTTCATAACATCTTTTTATAAGAATTTCAGAAAAAGAAAATAATCTTTAAAATAATAATTATCTAAAATCATATCAATTGAGTCCGTCTTACTTCATCAAATCACTTATCAAAAAAATGGGAAACTTTATGGTCATTTTAAACCGACACAACGATTAACTTTTAATTTTGAGGGTCAAAATATCGTCAAAATTAATTTTTCGAAGGACGAAGCGAGAAATTCTCGGTCCTGGGTTGATTTTCCATGACACTTTTCATCAAGATTTCATCTAAAATTGACAAATTGAGTCGTCTTCCTTTATTAGGTCAATCATAAAAATCATTTGAAAACGACACGGTCATCCGAAATCGATACAAGGATCAATTAGACTTATTTTTTGAAAAATAAGACGAAGCAAGAAAATCTCGGACCTCCCTGGGAAATAATGCGTCGATTTTTCTCATACAATTTTCTCATAAATATTCAATGCAAAAACTGAACAATTGAGTAAACGTCTTTCTCAATTGAATCGATTATAAAAACACCCACCTTTTAATGACTCGATGGAATTTAGTCCCGCGATAGCTGAGCGAAGGATCACCATTGATGCCAACAGTGGCGAGTCTCACGAAGTTTTCCGTGGTTCTCGGATGCGAATTTCCAAATAACCCAATCGTGACGCGGTCCGGTTTATTATTGCCGATTTTCACGTCCAAATACACGTGACGTGTGACCGTGTGGTACTTGGAACCCTGAAAAAAAATTTTTGAAAAAATGATCTACAAGTTAATGCAAAAAGGTTGACGGTTCACACTCTTGAAGTCAAAAACCTCCCTAATTAAAATTGTCGGTATATTCAATTAAAAATTTAAGCCTCCATAACTCAAAACTTCACTCTAACCTCTCTAAATCGGATTTTCTATTAAATGCCTATTAAATTATATTCGATTAAAATATTAAGTGATATTTAACTCGGGCTAAATTTTACAAAACCTGATCCAGAACATTTGCAAATTGTTTCCCTTTCTACAGCTTTCCAGAAGGGATCTGGCAAATTTCTTCAAGAAATAATTCACTCTTGCATTATTTTCTGGCAAAATTGATAAAAATATCTTGTCTACAACAGATGTTAATTTCGATTTAAAATATCAAAATGAGCTTAATTGGTTTAAAACGATGCCAAAATGTAACTGCAGCCTTTCTACATGTACGAATGCCAAAGGACGCGGAGAATCGGGACAAGTTATACAGTAAATTCTCGTTAACATAGAGCTGTTAGGACCAGGAAAAAATCTAAAAATAAAAACGCTATTTACAGCAATTTTAAAAACATTAATTCAATTCGACACAAAAAACACAATTCTTTTCAAGCAATGCTTCATTATAACGAGCTTCTATCCTAAACGAAAGTTTTTTCTGCTGGAAGCTGAAATATTTCTCATTTAAAAAAAAGGCAGTAAAAATATCATCAGAATCCTTATCACATCTGCAGCATAATCTGAAATCAGATCGTCTTAATCCTAATATGAGCTGCTAGACTTCAAGTTGAAGAAACTGAAATTTTGGACACATTAAAAAAATTGAATCACTCACGGAAGCTGGAAAACCATCAGCTAAAGTCCGGCAAAAGAACACCAGAAATATCACGGGTCTTCCAAACAGACATCCCAGCATGATTTTGTCTTCAGTCGTCCTGGTAAATAGAAAAAAAAAACACATCATTTCAGCACGAATTTTTACAAAAAAAAATGGTAAAAAATACAATACACCAACAAAAATTTGCATCACTAGGGAAGGAAAATGAGTTCAATGTTGAACTCTATGGCCTAGAAGTATACAACAGTAAAATCTTTACCTGATGCAACCAGAAGCCCTTCAAGTTCTTCTGAACTGACCGAGCAAAGTGAAGCCATCCAAGCGACGCAAGCAGGCGACACTTTCGAAAATTTTGACACGATAGATTTCATAAAGAGACACTCGATATGGTCACTTGATTGTTGGATCAACAATATCTTCCGAATTATCTGCAAATAATCAATAAAAAAACTGCAATAAAGCGCGCATCAAGCGTTTTCAAGGCCGAAATTCAAGAAAAAAAATCTAGAAGTGTTCCTTTTTTTCATTCCAACCCTTTATTGATGGTGAAGCTAAGTACCAACGGATTTTTAAAATCGTTGAAGAGGTCGTAACACATTCCCGACACACGATGGGACAATAATGAATCGAATAAATGTCCTGATTAACGAATGCTTCTTTTCAATGACCTCCCGTTTTTTCAACCAAAACCGCACAAATACTTCGGATTTTGCAAAAAGTGACTTTCAAGTGGAGAAATCTCTACATGCACTTTTAGATCTCTTTTTTTTCATCATCTTGGAGCTGCTTCTTCAGCAAAGAGAAAGAGCGTATTCAAGAACACAAATACTTCGGATTTTGCAAAAAGTGACTTTCAAGTGGAGAAATCTCTACATGCACTTTTAGATCTCTTTTTTTTCATCATCTTGGAGCTGCTTCTTCAGCAAAGAGAAAGAGCGTATTCAAGAGCCACAGAGCGACTGAAAAAAATCCGACAGTTGGGAATTCACCAGGAAAAAAATTTACATGACTTCCACGAAATTAGAAATTCACGTCCGATGGTAGAATGCTTGTTTAAAAAAAAAAATTTAGGTTGTTTAAGAACTTAGCGAACGAAAACGTAGAAACTTGATCAAAAAGTCTTTCTTCTTCGTAAAAGTTTTCGGTTAAGTGCTAAGTTCTTTTAGGCTATCAACCATATATGTTGTAAAGGCAAAGTTTAGATGACTTTTCAGGAAATCAGAAATTCATGCCCGACGGTAGAAATGATATTCTCAATCTCAGTGCATTTTTAAATCATTCTCTTTTTTTATCGTTGAACAAGTTCCTCAGAAGAGTGGAAAGGCGTGTTTAAAATCCACAGAGTGATTTAAGAAAATCCTATTCTTGATAGCTTCTCGAAAAAAAATTTACATGACATTTTTGTTTGTCAATCAGGGAGACATTCTTTAAATCACAAATTAACAACCGAAATAAAATTGTTAATCAAAATAATAAAAAAAAAAAATAGGGATGAATTTCTTTTCCAAAGAGCGTGTTCAAGAGCAACAAAGCGATTCAAGAAAATCCGAATCTTGGTTGTAATTTAGGAAGAAACTTAACATGCATGACCTTTTTTCAATGAGGAAGAGATTAAAAAATTCAGAAATTAATGTCCAAGAGGAGAATATTACTCAAAATCAAATGAATACGTGAACCAAGTTTCTTTTTTTTTTCAAAGAGAGTGTTCAAGAGCCACAGAGCGATTCAAGAAAATCCGACTGCTGGAGTTCTTTCGGCAACTTCAACGTGATTTCAAAATCCAAACGCTTCTGATCCTTGGCCTTCTTCTTGCGATTCCCAGATTTACTTCCATCCTCTTTTCTTTTCGTCGTGGGAATCACAGCAGGTTTGCTTTCGGGACTCGGTGGCCGTTTCTTGACGGGTTTCTGAACGTCGTCTTCATTCTGTTGCTGCACATTCAATTTCGGAAGATTCCCGGAAGTGAGTTGACGAAGCGCGTCCATAAAGAACCCGGCACGGGGATCCTGTCGACTCAAATGCGAAACCTCGGGTTTCCGGGGGGCATCATCCTTGGACTTGAACAGGTCTTCCAACAAGGCTCGTCTCTCTTCCGAGTCTCGACCAATGATGATCGGAGACTTGACGTATTCAATGTCCAAGTGTTTCGGCTTCTTGGTCGGGCGAGGAGGCCTGGGTTTGAAGGTGCTCCGGCGTCTGAGTTCGTCCAGATTGATGATGAAGGTGTATTCGAGGGCAGAGTCGGACCCGGGTGGTCGGGACTTTTTCCGCGGGTTGCTGCGTTCCGGGGGTCTCGTCGAACTGCTACCGGTCGTCGCGTCTCTTCGGTGAAGCTGGGCCCTGAGAACAACGTTGCGCGCCCGTCCGGGATCCTTTACCAGGTTGAGTTATTTCGTTTCAACATCCACAACTACGTATTTATATAGAACGCCTACACTATTTAAATGAGAATCAACTGTACAGTATATACAGTGAGNAGAAAATCCGACTGCTGGAGTTCTTTCGGCAACTTCAACGTGATTTCAAAATCCAAACGCTTCTGATCCTTGGCCTTCTTCTTGCGATTCCCAGATTTACTTCCATCCTCTTTTCTTTTCGTCGTGGGAATCACAGCAGGTTTGCTTTCGGGACTCGGTGGCCGTTTCTTGACGGGTTTCTGAACGTCGTCTTCATTCTGTTGCTGCACATTCAATTTCGGAAGATTCCCGGAAGTGAGTTGACGAAGCGCGTCCATAAAGAACCCGGCACGGGGATCCTGTCGACTCAAATGCGAAACCTCGGGTTTCCGGGGGGCATCATCCTTGGACTTGAACAGGTCTTCCAACAAGGCTCGTCTCTCTTCCGAGTCTCGACCAATGATGATCGGAGACTTGACGTATTCAATGTCCAAGTGTTTCGGCTTCTTGGTCGGGCGAGGAGGCCTGGGTTTGAAGGTGCTCCGGCGTCTGAGTTCGTCCAGATTGATGATGAAGGTGTATTCGAGGGCAGAGTCGGACCCGGGTGGTCGGGACTTTTTCCGCGGGTTGCTGCGTTCCGGGGGTCTCGTCGAACTGCTACCGGTCGTCGCGTCTCTTCGGTGAAGCTGGGCCCTGAGAACAACGTTGCGCGCCCGTCCGGGATCCTTTACCAGGTTGAGTTATTTCGTTTCAACATCCACAACTACGTATTTATATAGAACGCCTACACTATTTAAATGAGAATCAACTGTACAGTATATACAGTGAGCTCCCCACATGCGGACACCTCGACATGTGGACAATTCAACATAGGGACACTTATTTTCCCATGAAAAAATTTATAAAAAAAAGGCCCAACATGAGGTCACTTACTCAACATAGGGACATTTTATGATAAAATTGCAAATACATTTCAGGCCAAATTACACAAAACAGATATTTCCAACGCTAAAATTAATTCAAGAAAAGTTCTTGGGCATTTCTCTCACCAATTTACCATCAATTTAGTTAATTTAAAAAATACCTCTAGCATAGAGGGACTTCCTCCTCTCTTTTTCACTCAAATGTTATTTTTACAGAGAATGCCAACATTTCTATGTACTGCTACAGAGGTATCAGTATTAAATTCCCCAAATGTCCATATTGTGTTGGAATATATTGATTGAATCAGTTTCAAATGGGAGAAAATTTTTATTTTCATGGAATTATGGTGAGTATTTTGCCCATAAAACAACAATTAAAAATTATATGATGTAAGTCTATGGGAAATGAGACTCAACTTGGGGACATTCTTGATGCACCAATTATGTCCTCATCTCAGGGTCTTGCTGTAATTATGAATAAAAGGGTTGGTTTGTAAAAGACAATAAACAACCACTTGCCGTCATTGGAGGTGGAAGCAATTTTTTTTCTCTTGCTATTCAATTCTTCATTTGTGTTTAATAAATTGTTCATGAACTATTCAGGTACAGAAGGAAATAAGAAAAAGACCTGGATCACAGTGAATCCCCTCCACTGAAGTGAAGTTTACCAATTTTTCTCTTGCTATTCAATTCTTCATTTGTGTTTAATAAATTGTTCATGAACTATTCAGGTACAGAAGGAAATAAGAAAAAGACCTGGATCACAGTGAATCCCCTCCACTGAAGTGAAGTTTACCATATAACCCCCAAAGTCATAGAGCATGCAAGTGTCCATTCAGCTGCTCTTGATCAATTGAACTTCACTTCAGTGGAGGGGATTCATTCTGATCAATGTATTTTTCTTGCTTCCTTATGCAGCTGAATAGTCCATGAAAAATGTATTAGACACCCATGAAGGATTGAAGAGCAACAACAACAAAAAATTGCATCCACCTCTGATGATGGCAAGTGGCAGTTCATCATCTTATACAAATCAAATCAAACCATGTAAAGTAGGGCCTTGGTTTACAAACTTGATCCATTCCTGAGCAAAGTTTGTCAACCAAATACAGTAGTTTGTTAACAAAGTCACATTTTCCCTTAAGAAAGTACATGAATAATTTTAATTGCTTCCATAACCTTGAAAAAAAACATGAAAATCAAAAACGTTTTACCTAAAATTTTCACTGGGCCTAAAATACAAGAACATTTATTGAACAAATTAGAATAGAAGCTCAAAGAAGTGTTGATGAAGACAGGAGCCTAAGAAGGATGCCAGAGAAGGTGGGTGAAGACAACACTAGTTAATTCTTAAAAATTAATCCAGTTAATTTATTTGGGCATCTTAGTCAATAAATTCATTCACTTCGCAATTTTGAGAAACCAGTGTCTGTAAACAGGATTAAGAACATGAATGGCTGGCTTACATTGCTATATTCAGGGAGGGGGAAACAAAAAGCACATCTAAAATGGAAACACTGTCATAAAACAAGATTGAGTGAACTAAGAAGAAATTTGCAAAAACAAGCACAAATGTTGAAATAGAAGTCAAAATCATGCAAAAATCATTCAACTTTTGTTATTACAAACTCTCACTTGAAAGAGCAAGAAATATCCACTGGGAAATATATTAACCATGGTACCAATTAATACATACCAAAGAAGGTGGGCATTTTGCATGGCATGCTTATGAGCCCACAAAGTTTGCAAACCAAGTCAGGTAAGTTATCCAAAGCAACCAAAGCCAACATGAAACGTTTGTCAACCATATAGCTTGTTAGCCAGGGCATTTGTTAATCAAGACCCCATTGCACAGCAAAATTATGCAACAACAAATACCAGCCAATTACAAACAAAATTCTCAGTAAAACAAACTCTTTTTCAAGTCCTTTTCATCAACTGCAATTTTAGCTTCCCTTAACTCAAAACCTCCCTAAATGGAATTCTTAGCTGGTCCAAAAATTTATTTAAAAATTTACTAGAATAACTGGATAACATCCCACGTTGATGCGTGGAATATGTCCCAACATTTTCTCCTGCATCCCATCTAACAAAGTGCAATACCATATTTACTTGAGTACCACACACACCTTTTTTCTTAGATTTCAGAAGAAAAAACGGGGTGCGCGTCATAAACGGGTACACATTTTTCAAGAAGTTTTAGGAAATAATGTGTGCATTATACTTAATTATAATGGAGAAATTTGGAAAAAATGTAACAAGAATTGAAAAAACATGACTTTTTCAACTTTTAACTAGTCTAAAAACAAGTTAAGTACAGATGTCAGGTTAAAAACGTAAATAAAAGAAAATTCTGTGGTTTTAGATTCACTGAAAATTGGGGTGCGCGTCTTACTTGGGGATCAGATTTTAGCCAAATTTTCAACTGGAAAGCCCCTGTGCGCGCCTTACTCAAGGGCGCGTGGTACTTGAGTAAATACGGTAATATATTATCAGAGGAAACAAGTACGGTAATTAAAATATAATCAGGGGGAAGATTGATTTCAGACCTCAATTTCTTTTTTGCTCATCCAAAACTTTTTGGCACAGATAGAAAAAAACAAATCCCAACCAAAGCTATATTTGCAAGAGAAATATTTCTCAATTTTTAAATGTCTGTTGAGCAATCACTTCGAAAAACCCCAGCAATGTCACTGAAGGGTTAACAGGTTTCGATTGTTTGTATGTATAGAAAGCAGAAAAAAATAAAATACAAATCAAGAACATCAACGCACCAGCAATGAGTCCTCCACCTCAGATTCCCTCCCCTCCAGCATCTCCTCATCAAGATCCGTCCTCGTCTCTCGCTTATTATGAACTTTTTTTTTTTTTTTTTTCGACAAATAAAATGATCAGCAAGGGTTGTGTGAAACACAATGGGTAACATTTACAAAATTTCCCGCTAAAATTTAAACCCTCAAAAATTAGGAGCATACTTCTTGAAGTTCAAAGATATACATTTTAAAAATTAGCATGAATCCAAATATATATATATATATACTGTATGCGGGTTTTACAGACTGTGTTTTGTCAAACTTTTTTTGGGTAACATTCACAAAATTTCCCGCTAAAATTTAAACGCTCAAAAATTAGGAGCATACTTCTTGAAGTTCAAATAAATAAATTCTAAAAATTAGCATGAATCCAAATATATATATACTGTATGCGGGTTTTACAGACTGTGTTTTCTCAAACTTGAGAGGAAAAAAAAGGGTCAGTGCCATAGGCAGGTACGAATTTTAAAAAATTTCAAGTAATTTAAGTGCGCTTAAATTCCAGTGGACTCCAATTGAAATTTGGCTCGATTTCATCAGAAAAACATATTTTTAGAGAAGCAATTCTAAAATTGGTTGAAATGAGGTCTAATTCATGTTTAAATTAAAATTTGGGAACTCATGTTTTTAAAAATACAGGTATTGCAGTTTCTAAGTCAATAAAATGGGATGCGTGCCTTACTCAATTAGACTGATGAAATTTAAGCAAAATTCCATACAATTCATTCATTCAATTTCTTCACAATTTAAAAACTTTACAATGAAGGAAAATTTCAGACGAAAAACCGCGGGTCCGTGTGTCCTATTTGAGGGCGCATAGTACTAGAGTAAATACGGGTACAGTACTTCAAAACAACTGTACTGTACAGTACTTGCAAAGCTTACAGGCGGAGGATGCATCATGCTGTAGGCGGCCCAGGGATTATGCCCAGCAGCGAGG